TATGTAGTTGACTGACCTGGAACTCACTCTGTAGCCCAGGCTGGTCTCCAACTCACAGCAATCATCCTGTCTCAACCTCCCGAGTGCTGGGATTACATGATTTTATCTTTTCTTGGGGGGTGGCTTTATATTACTGATTTGTTTATAAGAATATCACCTAATCTGCTTTGGTCTGAAGTGACTCAAATAATGTTAATAGGTTTTTTTTGGTTAATAGTCATGCAACAGATAATAACATTTCAGTCAATGATGGACCACATGCATAATGGTGATCCCATATGATAGCTTGGTGTAGTGATGTTATAGCTGTCTTAGTTGTATAAGCACACTCTAGGATGTTTGCACAACGATTAAACCACTTAGTGAGATGTGATTGTATTATTAAATTTTTATTCTGAGATAATTCTTGTTTGACATGTAATTGTAGGAATTAATATAGAATGAGATCTCATGTTCTCCATTTCTATAATTTTGCCATCACCAGAATTTTCTATATACTATATAGTATGTAGACTTGTGGGTTGCCTTTTTCATTCAGCATTATTTTCTGGAAAATTCATCTGAGTTTATGCATTTACACTTTGTTCTTTTTATTACTGAGTAGTATTCTATCATGTTGATACACAGGTTTATTTTGCCACCAAAGGTAAAATTAAATATAATAGCTAAATGTGTTTTCATATAAATTATTTGATAATTAATATAAAATTCATTATATTTAAAAAAGTAAAAATCTTGTATGAAGTACTGTATAAATGAGCATGTTCCCTGGTGGCCTTAAACTTGACAATTTCTGATTATCCTTGATGATGATATGTTACTGTCCTTTCATACTACTTAATTCCCCAAAAGAGGACATTTCATTAGATTAATGAATCAGTGACATACAGCAGATTTACATTCTTAAATAACTTTCTGCAGCATGCCTCAGAAGTAATTAATGATTTCAGGGTATCGTACAGGAGAATCTGACATAATACTCTTTTATGTTAAGAACCTTTTAAACCTTTGAATGCAGAAATTATTAATGGTTTCTTGGGAAGATGCTTGTAGTTTTTCACTTATTTTTGACATTAAAACTGTTGAATGGACCAAGGTACTTTATTTAAAAAAAGACAACAACAATTCTCATTTCTTTATTTTATGGTTTGATGCAACTTCATAGCAGTTTTGGTGCAAAGCAACAGTAGATACTGAAGGTGGCTTCAGGTATGCAAATGAATGCTGTGGAAAACATTTCAGAAATATGGAGAAATTGGTTTAATTGTTGGATGTTTATGTTATTGCTAGAGAAAAAGCATTTCTTATATTGCTTCCTTTATAGTATAGTAGTTAAATTGAAATTTGACTTTAACAAGTTGTGTGAAAATGTTTTAGAAATACTAAGACTATCAGCAGCTTGTCATTTTCCAGCTTTGGTCTACTTAGAGTATCCAGGAGAAGATTGAGCATAGTAATGTTTTACCTTTTATTATTTCTAAGGTGTAATCAGCAGTAAAAGAAATATGAAGACTTTGCATAAAATAAGACTAGCCCCTCCTTCCTTGCCCTTTCCCCCACTCTGTGTGGGAGTTATTGCCATACCCAGGTTATAGAAAATTGTTTCTGAGACTTCTAGAAAGTTAATTTTTAATAAGTTAATTGTCCATAAGTTACAGTCTAGCTTATGAAGGTAGACTATTTAAGATACATGAGTCTCTTTTTCCTCAGGAAGATTATAATTAAATCATAGTTACTTGTGGATATGCTGGCATTGCACAAAATCTGTTTGTATATTTTATGTTAATTTGGGGAATGAAGAATTACATGGTTCTGAAGTCAAGATGATAAAACTTAAATAGTGAGAATTCTTGCTTGTTCCTATAAGTGTCTTTATTTCAAACTTCCACCCTGATTGCTGTTTATGTTTGTTAACATATACATAGAAGAGTAAATAGGAATGTGTGTTCTTATTTTCTCTCTTTCTTACATGAAAGTATTCTTATTACTTTTCCATTTTCACTTATTCTTGAGCTTTTAAATCATTTTCTTAACCAGATGTGTTGGTGTAAACCTGTAATCCCAGCACTCATGAGGTTGAGGCAGGATGATCGCCATGAATTTTGTTGTTGTTGTTTTTTTTTTAAAATTTAATTTATTAGTACATTCTAGGTAGACAGTACAGTTACATTCATTACTGGGATCTTGTACCTTTACATGCCAGGTCTTAGTACGATCGCCATGAATTGTAGGTGAACCTGGGCTGCATAGTGAGTTCAAAGCCAGCCTGAACTATATAATTGAGACCATGACTCAAAAAATAGCAAAATAAAACAAAATACCCAAGTCATTTTTTTTTTTTTTACACTATCGTTAAAACATGGCAAATGAGTTTTAAACTGTCTTAGTGACTGTTTCACAGTATGGCTGGACAGAGCAATTTTGAGCTGACAAAAATTGAAAAAGTACCAGAACTTCAAATAGTACTGGTACTAAAATTTAGCACCCCCCCAAAGTCAGTACTTCTGTAACTAAGAGACTGTCTTTTAAAAAGTAAATATAAGCTTTTTCTTTCCTGTAAAACAGGTATATCTTACACAAGCAAGGCAGGCTATGGTATATCTTCCAAATAGGTCTTTGTTTTTGTTTGTTACTGTTTTTGCTTTGTTTTGAGACAGGGTCTCGCTCTTTAGTCCAGGCAGGCCTTGAACTCACTTAAGACCAGGCTGGCCTTGAACTCCTGGGGATTCTCCTTCCAGGTGCTGGGATTACAGGCTCCACACTGGGCTCCAAATAGGACTTTTCAAATATTATGTAGCCTAAAAGCAAGTACAATGAAATAAATAGAATATTTCTCTGTACTGTATTCTACTTTCATGAATATGCTGTCTGACACTCACATGATTAATTCATTGGTAGTATTTCCAAAAGTAAAATCATTATTTACACATGCATACATTTATGTTTATTAAGGTAGAGAAAAATTACATTTGTGCACACTTTGGAATTAGTATGTTTGTTAGTACAGTACACATAAGATACAGTACATAAAGTTACTCAAATCACTTACTCAGCAGCTTGTCATGGAGTGGATTTCTGTCTGGAAGACACAGGGATTATTTTCTTACATGACAGGGTTTAATGTTTGGCATACATAATGAAGTACTGATGCTTGGTGGGACGCATACAGGGCTCTAGGCTACAATACTTGCACATGAGTATGTCACCCTAGTTTGGATCACCAGCCACCAATTTGGACTACACTTTACTTTTCTGCAATATGACAGAGAATAGGAGGAGTTAATTCTATAAGTTTAGTGAATTCTTTTGGCTCTGTAGATCCAATTAAGAATGGGAATAAAATTTTTCTTTAGTGTTTAGGAAAATGGAGTTTTGATTAGTGTTTTTTTCTCTCTCTCGACAAATGGGGTTGTTTTGTTTGAAAAGACTGCACTGCCCATCACTTATTTCCTAATAGATACTAAAATTTTACTTTAAAAACTGAATTATTAGCTGAGTGTGTTGGCACGCACTCATAATTACAACACTTAGGGAGGCTAAGGAAAGAGGATTGCAAATTTAAATCGCACCTGGGCAACTTAGTAAGACCCTGTCTTAGAACAGAGAATAAAGATTGGAAATGTAGCTCAGTGGTGTGGAACCCCTGGGCCCAGTCCCCCAGTACTATGAAATTAAATTTTTAATCCCATAATAATTATTTTGATCTAATTAATTCTTTCATTTGAATACATTATTGGATTTAAAATAGCACCATAATGACAATATTAGTTCTGTTAGCATAAGCCTTTAACTTCAAGCAAATATAATTATGTCTTTCCTCAGAGGCTGTCATTCATAATTTTGTTACTACTGTGCTGTGGAAGTATAGTGAGGAGAATAATCTGCCGCCAAAGGATTTTGAAATTACTGTTTAGGGTCTGTAAATGAGCATTAATTCATGAAGGTACAAAAAGGTGGTGAAACATGTGACATAAAATTAGAAATGAGGATGTGCCTGAATGAATTTGGCATGAGGGAAAGAAACTATAAAACCAATCACAGTTCTG